GATAAACAGGTCGGAGATCACGTGCCGTGATCTTCCTCTTACTAAGCATCACGGTTCGCACCGTGACATCCTTCAATTTAGAATCGACCCTGATGATATCTATAACTTTGATGAGACCGGTTCTGCAATAGGACTGACTATAACCGCGAAGGTTATTACGAGGAATGAATATTACGGTCAGAGGCCGGTTTAATAACCTAGAAATCGTGAATGGGTGACGGTGGTTGAATGTACGAATGCTTCTAGGTAGGTGCTTCCTCCGTGTATAATTTTAAAAGGCAAAGTCTTTGTTAATTTATGGTTTAATAGCCTCCTAGAGGATTGGCGCTTCGGAGCAGCTAGTTTAGTACTATTAATACCTAACCGAGTGATTTCAAAGCTTGATATTCGGCTTCGAACCCCAAACCCCCCCCCCCCCCACGCCAGCCGGGGGAGTGAATCAAGCCGGAATTTTACCCCAAAACCCCCCTTTACGGAGAAAGAACTACGTCGTCAAGCTTCATCAATCAAAGCTTTACTTCGTACAAGATCTCGAAGCCCACCTAGCCCGTTAGATCGTGCATTAAACCAGCTTGTAAAATGCTTCCGTCCTCCAATGCAAGGTGCTATCTTACTCGCCAAAGAAAACAAGGATTTACACGCCGCCAACGAGAAGCAGAAGCAAAAGCGTACTAGATCCCGGAGGCAGATACCTGCTGAAGAAGGCCTCTCAGTTCAAGAAGCTTCTCAATTGATTACTGAGCCGGTGGAAGCAATTGAAGTACCTCCTCTCCCTCCACCAAGAAGCCCTTCGCCGGCTTTACAACCACGTATACGGGCCCCCCCCCCAAAGTGTAGTGGTTGTGGAGAAATAGGACATAAGATTAATAGATGCCTAGCTAGACAGAAGACTTTAGAATATTCAATTTAATGGCGTTTTAGTTGAGATAAATGCATTTTAAATTAAGAAGTTGGTTGGGGTGGCCAGCTCGCCCACCGAATACGTTATAAGCTATAACCTAAAACCTATTTTATATTAGGTTATTTTAGGCTAGGTCCGGGTTAGAGTGGGTTATGCCGAAGTCTACCCTAGATCCTGAAGCTTGGTAGTGATGGACCAGGAGAGGAGCTCTAGAAATTCGGAATCAAAGTTTTCTTTAACCTCCCTGGCTTGGATATGAACCTAAAGTACCACTACTAAACTGCGGTGCAAGGTTTTGTCCCGAAAAACTTCACTGCCCTCGATGGATGCATGTTTAGCCTTGGCGGTGATTCCTGTCTTGACCATTAAAATAGGCCTTTCTTTTTTTACCACAGTATTTCGTCTAAGCAATTTAGAGCTGCATTACTCTAGAGGAGCTCCCTGATTGCGGATGACAGCTTCGATGTGTTTATATTCGGCGGTCCCATCAACTTCTGGGGATGCTTCCCTGAATGTGGTTTGAATATCCCCGAGCACCATTACTTTTTCACTTGGGCGTTTCTGAAGGCCCGCCCTCGTAACGGCGCTGGGACTGTGATGCTCCGCGCTGCCGATTCGCTCGAAATGCTCGATTTTTCTTTCAACTATTTTGACAGTTATTTGGTTGACATGTAGGAAGTAATTCCTGGTGATGTTATCCAGATGGATGAGGAGATCTATGATTATCTCAAAAACACGGCCTAGGGCTACCACGCTTCTTGCAGGCGATGTGATTCTAGGGGCAGTGAACGCGAGCCAGCAAGTTTATTAATGAAGCACTTGTATATTAAAATCATCGAAAGACCGGTGTTGAGAATCCCCTTTATTTCTTGCTTATAAATGGGAATTCAATGATAACCCTATCCCGATGTTGTTCATCCTCAACATTTATGCATACACCATTTTATCTGCATGCCATGAACTCCGAACTCCTAAGGAATCGAGACTAGCGCCATTGATGCAGTTTGATATCCTCATCACTAGTTTCTGCGTGGAAACTGTATCCTTTCGAATCACAATTTGGCATTCCGTTTCGGCCTGCTTCCAGTCAAATGGAAGTTGGTAGATCAAGAGATAAGAATTCTCTCTGTTTCTCTCACAGCTTATTAAGGGATTCAACTCTTGGATACGCCGTGTCTACATATCTTCATCAAAGTTTGCTCTTCTCCAAGGCGGCAACTAATTTCCAGCTACATCCATTCACTCAAAGATGTCCCTGGAATCAGAAATTTTTCTTTAGTAGCCCCAATGAGCTCTCGCGCTCAATTATCATTTTTATTAATTCATGGTCGCTCTAATGCAAAAATGTAAAGGTCATTCCCCTCCTCTTCGAAATCACCCACAATCTTGAATCCACACTTTTCTAGAACACGGCAACTCCCAGCGTTCCTCTTTTCGCAGAGAGCAAAGGCTTTCTCAACCTTTGCCGAAGCATCTCCGCCGTCAATCGTTCGACGAGCCAGATTCCACCACATCTTCAACATCAATTGCAAAGCCTCTGTTGCGTACCCTTTCCCCCAAGAAGATGGATGTACTGCGTATCCAATCTCGGGAAAGGGATCTACTTGATTGATGCTGAGAGATCCAACGACTCGCTCCTCTGTTTCCGGGATTGACTTGTCCACAATGGCATAATTAAATGAACGTCCGATTATGTCGGATGGACCACTTGTGAACACTTTGGTTGCCATCCATGCACGGGTCTCTTCAATTGATTTGAATGGTGTTTTAGGGTGACTGGCACTGTCAGCATTGTGAACCTTCCTCGTCAATAGGCGAATACTCACTTCATTTCTGCTACTTCGGGCCGGGAACGAATGGCAAAAAGCGCGGCGGCATCGGCGTCGGTAACTGGCCGAAGAAGGAGTCGGTCGCTCTCAATTGACGGCCCCAGTGATGGGACGATCACATAGGTGGGTTGTTCAGGTAGGCTCATGTTGGAGGTATTTTGTTTCTTAGGGTTTGGGAGAAGATCGCAAAGAGAAAACAATCTAAATAGGAAAATTTGACGGTAGCGCTAAGCCAGTCCCGGAGTCCGGTTGAGTGACAAATCGAGTATCGGCAGACACTGAATGAGTCACTCTTTCTGTGAATTTTCTGTACATGCACTTCTACTCTACCTTTTCTAATTTTCCAGCTTTACCAGCATTGAGAAATTGAAGCAAAGCAGAATTTCTTATTTCAAGGTAGCCACAGGATATTTTCGAAGCTTGAGAGCGTGCCCTGCATCAACGGGCCACTAAGCCCTAAAACCGGACAGACTACGGAGTAGTGTTCGGTCTCAAGGCGCTCCCATTGATCGGCGACACCAAGTTCGTGATTAATTTTGACAGTTAATATAGCATATCGTAACACATGATTTAAATTGCCAACATAAGACAAATCATGACCACAAAATATTGAGTTTCGCGAGGCCACGCTTCGGCTTTGGCTCCGGCTCGGGGTTCTTGTGCCAGCTTTCGATGAAAGGCCGAATGGGAATTGCAGCCAGCGGGATGACCTTTGTTTTCGCCCAGAATTTGTAGGCAAAATACACGATCACGATGAACGGCAGATTGAAATAAGTCGAAACAAAGGTTGCGGTGTTCCAGTGACCGCGCATAAATGTCGTAAAGCCTCCAGTGAAGAATAGAATAACGTACAGGACCAACGACGCCCAAGTAATGTATGGCTGGAAAGGTGCTGCCCATGGAAGCTCCTTGTGGCGATCGATCCCCTGCTTCTTGCATCCGTAGAAGAACCTAAGATAGACAATGCAGATGCATATCAAATTCACTAGAGTCGAGATCGAGACCAGATTTTGTAGCCATGTGAATACTGTGCTGGCTGAATCGGAAAGACTCATGTATCCAAGTGACATGAAAACGCCATAGAGCGCGACAGCCACCCAAGGGATACCGAAGCGGTTGATACGTTTGAATACAGCAGGGGCGAGACCCTGAGTTGCCATCCCGTACAGGATTCTGGAACCTCCCAAGATATTGCTGTTCCCGGAAGACCATGCTGAGGTGAGAACAACTGCGTTGATGATTGAGGGAACCACTTTGATACCAGCATGGCGGGCTGCAATAACGAAAGGGGACTGTGATGCTGTTCCCGACGAGCCCAGAAGATTTGGATCGGCAGACGAAACAATCAAACCGACCATGAAGATTGTTACCACATAGAAGAGCAAGATGCGGATGAAGATCCGTCTGGCAGCCATGGGGATAGCGTGGCGAGGGCCTCGGGTCTCCGCTGCAGCGAGAGTAAAGTTCTCGATACCGGAGTACGCGAAGAGAGCGTTGTCGAACGTTTGCCAGAACCCTAAAAACCGGCCAAGGGGCCCTTTCACTCCCAAGTACTGAACGAACGGGCCATACGGGGCTTTCCAGTAGGTAAATCCGATGGACTGTTTATTCGGGGCTCCGCCGCAGGTAATCACCTATCAAAAACGAATTAGCACGCACGGTTGAATAATTCTGCCGTCTAGAGGGGGGCAATCACCAGAGCCATGATATTTATGCCTATTATGAGCATGATCTTGAGGATAGAAAGACCAAACTCGAGCTCTCCGTACACGCGAACAAAGACAAACGCGGTCGAAAGCATGAGCAATCCAAGCACAGTGATCCATATCGCGTTGTTGACAGTGATCCAGAATTCAATGATTACAGCGGCAGCAACAATCTCCGATGGGATCGACACAGCGTAGGAATACACCTGGTTCCACCCGTTGGCGAACGCTAGCGCGGGGTCACAGAAGATCTCAGCGTGTCGAATAACACCACCGTTGAGGGGTACCAGAGCTCCCATCTCGCCAACTGCGAAGACGACACTGGAAACTGTAGCACCGATTATTGAATATGCCAAGAACGCACCCAATGGTCCAGCTTCCACAATGGCACGGCCCGAACTGAGAAAAATACCCGTCCCCACCGTACCAGCGAGAGCAATCATCTGGATGTGTCGCTGATGGAGACCCTGTCTAAACTCGCGAACCTCCCTGAGCTGGCCTGCGACATTCTCTATATCGCTATTCTCCGTCATTTCGTTGTCTCCGTTGCCTCCGTTGCCTCCGTTGCCTCCGTTGTCTTCGTTGTCTTCGTTGTCTTCGTAGTAATGCAGCTTGGAGTTAGACGCTATTGGGGTATTAATGCCATTCGCATCCCCCAAAAGTTGGGTATTTATAACAGGCAACATGGAAACTCCTGTGGCGTGACACAAAGTCTGTGAAAAGGAAAAGACCCAAGCTAAAGAATGACATTATTATTGCTGGTACTTTGGACATAACTATTTCTTCACTCGAGTGCGCAGATCGCGGCCCCCATAGTGTGGGCAATCGCAGCTACTCAAAAAGGGCGAATTTGCAATCCACATCTTGTTGTTGGCTAATGAATCGGGGCCCTTATATAACGCGGCTTTCGCGTAAAGCAGAAAAAGAAAAGGAAAAGAGAGTTTTCAGCGGGGTTTAAATAGGGCATCCATTCACTCCCCGGGTCCTCATCTGCTGCCCAGATGTGGAGCCGCCAAGTCTGCGGAGTGGGCCACGCTTGATTGGATTTGGATTTACTTGCATCGACACATAGATGTACTTCGTATGTCTCGCGTAAATCCACCAGTGCTATGTATGTTGTACTTCTTAGTGGGAAATTGAGCCGCCCCAAACGCGATAGACATCTTATGATGTGATCTAGACTGGGAAAGCTGAATGAGCATATAAAAAGTAAAAAAAAAAACAATATGCCCCGTGCGGGCAACCAAGTATGCCATCGGAACTTAACCCTCTCATTGGATACTGTCTCACCGTCATTTTCACCATCCTCTCGAAGCCTAGTATACCATGATGTGATTGTTTTAAAATCAACTTCTCTTTTTTTTTACATACCGACACACTTCAGAATAGAACGACCAACCATTGATCTTAAACCCTACAAAGATAAGATTATCTTTCTTCATAAAAGCGACGTATTCTTCGAATCTACATCTAGCCCTTTTACGCGATTAGTATAACCTTAACATTACACCTGTTATTTGTCGATCTAGTATACTAGTTTAGTATATATAGGTTTAGAAATCATTTTTTTTAATACACGTAATTCGATCCTCACATTTTGACATCAAGTGTAATTTGATAAATGCCAGTCTAAAACAAGGACAAATTTAGGCACAGTTAGGCATAAGTCCTACATAGAAGGTATTTGACTTTTGGAAGACTTAATTAATACCTGGCAAAATTATCCAATGAGAGGGTTGAGTTCCGATGGCATACTTAGTGGTCCGTAACCCCGTACCGTCTCAATCTTTCTACTCTTGAAACTAGTTTTAACCAGCGCAGTGAATGATCCATTATTGGATATTTGGGTAGGAAAGACATCAGTACTCTTCTGAGCCAAAGGAGCCATTCCTGTGGCATGTTGTGTTTGAATCTTCCCATTTTCTGAGCCGTTGGTGTATGCCACTAAATATGAACTCCTTCCCGAGGTCACCTGTGGGCTCCAGTTCGGCTTAGTGATTTTTAATTTGTCTTAATTGACTTGGTCTTCTGTACTTTTGGGGGATCAACTTGCATTTTATCCCTCTTTTTCAATCTATTAGCTAATGAAACATCTAGCGATGCAATCCTCTCCGGCAACAAGTGTGTCATTTATGTAGGTATGATGAAAAGGGAAGCAAACGGATTGCGAGCTCGAGACAGACTAAGAGCCGGGCTTACGTCGGAAACTAGTGATATGGCCAGAAGGTGGTAGAGTTGCCTTGGTTCTTTCTTTTCCTTCGCTGCACTTTCAAATCCTCTTTAGTCTATATCCACATACCTCATACACACTTCCGCAATTATTGCTCACCCCAAACTATGGCTATGACTCAGTGTTTTACAAATGCTCATTGTTTTCTTGCGCACATCTTCCCTCAGCTTCCCCACCCACTGAGACTCCCCTGAGCTGGAATTACGGGTCCAATTCAAGATGTTCCACTTTATTGACATTCCATCCAGTAACTCCAGCTTGTGGGCTTGGCAGCCTAATCTCACGAAAAACTATTGGAACGCTCCTCGGAGCCAGCACAACTCCCAGAAATCGATCCCCGGGTAGTCCAAAGGGTCATAGACAGTTGAATGCGTGAGATCGACCGGCTACGCATAGACTATTAAGAAGGTTTAATGACAGAATACCGCGTCTGCTTTCACGGGCGTGGAGTTGCCAACTACAGAAACCGGATCCCAAGACATCTTCGCGAGCTACGACTAAGCCCAACTAGTTGATCATTAAAACCACTCCACAATCTACAATTAATGATTGACAAGCCGTATTACTTGCAAGATATCAACTCTGACATTACCAGCCTGAAAGGGAAACAAAAACGGACTCTGCCCTCCTCCATCTGTCATTTTCAGCACTACTAATAAGCGTTCTTCACTCAAACACACTCTCCTTCTCATACACTCTTTTCTCACGACAGTGTCTTGATCACTCTTGCTCGCATCTCCTCCTACTTGCATGGTTTACTTAAAAAAAAACCGAAGATAAGACAATAAAGTGGAAGGTCGTGGCGTAGCAGTTCCTCCCACCATCCATTGAGACGAAGATTCCGTCGGCCAATGCTAAGAATAGTAGGCCAGGTCAATGGGCCGTCCAAAAAAAAAATTCACATACCGTTGATGCTGCAAAGCGCACCTGACCACGGAAATCTACCTTAACTTCTCCGTGCAAGATCCAAAACTACGAAAAATGAGAGACCGTGCCCCTTCGTCAGACCACCACCTATCTGCCCTTGTCTTTTTGGTCATCGGTCATAGTACCGTTCCGGTGTGCCACAGGCAAGCAAATTGGCAGGTAGAATTCAACTCTTGGGAGATTTCTACCCGGAGCGCTGCCCAAGCTCATCCTCTAGGTCGCAAGGAAGATGTTAGAGATACTAGAGATCTACGATGAATGTAGATGTAACTGGAAATCTCTTGATGCGTTGAGAGAGAGAGAAACTATCTACATGCTATGACTGAGACTAAGTGTTGAACGAAATACAGCGTACTTTTCCACTAGACCATAACAAAAACCAAGGTTCCTGTTTATGGCCTAGGGAGGCCGTATTTGAGGTTTGAC